TAGTTTGAAGAGAGAAATTTAGAAGAACATTATAAGAAACAAAGATGGAAAAACAAGATGTGCCTCCAGTGGAGAATATTGCAGGTGACCAATAGAAGAGAAGTTTGGAAAGGTAGGTTGTGGTCAAACCAGGGACACCCAAGAGATTCAGCATAAAGGTACTTTGCAGGTGTCTGAATGGGTAAGTGCTGTGATCTACGCACTGTGGAGTATAAATGGATAGTCGAATGAAGGATATGGTTGTCAAGGGGCAAGAATGTAGGCAGTCGGATTTTCATGGAGGCTAGTGCAACTGTATGGGCCAGACACAGGCCTAAGGCCAGGACATGGGTAGTAACCATGTGTGCAGGAGTTAAACTTGTATTCTGGGAATGTGAGCCAAGTGGATTCCAACAACTGACTAGACGTGCAGATGGAGAGAGCAAGAAGAGGCAAAGACAATTAGGTTTCAAGACTGTGAACTGCAGAACCAAAAATAAAACTAGAAAGGGCAGGATGGAGAGAAAGTTGGGACAAGCCATTGAAGTGAGGGACCATGGAAAATCAGGTTAGATTTTAGAGAACAAGCTAGAGATGTGGAATGCTGAGACATCTGAGCACAAGTGATAGTTGAAGCCGTGATGGAATGTTGTATTTTACTGCAACAAATACCTGCTTCCCCTCTCCAGAGGACATTATTCTTCCCTGTCCGTTACAATCAGGCTTGACCATGTGACTTGCCAATGAAAGTGAAAAGAGTGTTATCTGTCACTTCCATTAAAAAGTTTTAAAAGCTTCTGATTGATTCACAACCTTCACATTCCATCTTCCACAGAATTGGTAATGCCCAGCTAGTGACTGCTTCATTAACCTGGCCCTGGAGTTAAATTAACATGGAAAAAAGCCGACAGCTGATTTGTAGTGTGAGTGAGAAATAATTAGTTGTTATAAAGGCCACTAGGAGTTGCAAATTGTTTATTACTGCAGTATAATCTGGCCCAACCTGAAAGGCCATGGGAATGAATAAGATTGCCCAAAAAGGGAAAGTAAAGAAAGATCAGAGGATGACCTAGCATGAGACTTATTCCAACAATTCTGCATTGGTATTTCATAGGAAAAAAATGCCAAGTGAGTTACATTTGTCAAATTACTTTGAGCATAATTTCTTAATTTTTGTCATTACTCTTTTCTGTATAAAAAACTTGCATTAAAAAGAAAACTTGGGGGGGCCAGCCAAATGACGTAGTGTTTAAGTTCGTGCACTCTGCTTCAGCAGCCTGGGATTCACAGGTTCGGATCCTGGGCACAGATCTGGCACCACTCGTCAAGCCATGCTGTGGCGGCATCCCACATAAAGTAGAGGAAAATTGGCACAGATGTTAGCTCAGCAACAATCTTCCTCAAGCAAAAAGAGGAAGGTTGGCAATAGTTGTTAGCTCAGGGCCAGTCTTCCTCACAAAAAAACCCCCCAAAAAATCCTTAGGGCCGGCCCTGTGGCATAGTGGTTAAGTTTGGTGTGCTCCACTTCAGCGGCCCAGGTTCGCAGCTTCAGATCCCAGGTGTGGACCTACACCACTTGTCATCCATTCTGTGGCGGCAACCAAAATAAAAAACAGAGGAAGACTGACACCAATGTTAGCCCAGAGCTAATATTACTCAGCAAAAGAAAAAAGAAAAAAACTTGCCAGATCAGACAAAGTTATTCTGGTTATCTTTGGAAATGCTTACTTTATGAAATAATCTTAATAAATAGCAACCACCCTCAACAATTTTGAGCATTCGATATATTTTTTTAAAATATTACTTTTGTCTGTAAATTTTTCTCAGCATAAATTCACCAACCTACCACTCTTCATTAGATCAAAGAACTAAAATTATGTTTTGACGTTAGAGAGTGTCTTCTTGCTTAGTGATAGAGGAAGTGGGCTTTCTGGGAGCAGTTGGTGGTTGATCACTGATATTATCTATTGCTCACCACTCCAGCATGCAGACTGACATAAGTAATGACAAAGAATTCTGAGATCATCAAGTTAGTTAGAGCTTACCCTGTAGGTCATTTAGACATATTTCTTAGCCCGAGGCAGCAATTAAAATCCATAACAAATGATTTAGGAATGTAAGAGGATTCTCTTTTTATCAGGTTGATTTGCAATGAAAATTCGTTATTTTATGAGTATTCTATTTCTTGTATTTTAGAGAATCTGAGAAAAACCTGTAAATTAATTTTCTAATACAAATCCCCACCACTTCTTGCCTTTTTCACTATTGTTGCCCAAGGCTCCCTTAAGGCTTTCACCTACCAAATCACTGTATACTTAGCATTTTTAAGAGCAATTCATTTTTATATAAATACAGTTGGATTATTTTTATTAAGAATGACAGGAGAATTAGTAAAATGTGATTTAATGCATCTATATCTTTTATGTATGGAGAAGTCCACAAATCACAGAACAACCTTGTGCACTGAGCAGAAAGGTTACAATGTTTTATTACTAAAAAATACACGATCTGTGATTCTAGAGCCTTATCGCCTTCTGCCTCCAAGTGCTGAACTATTCTAGGAAACCAGTTCCGAGACCTATCTTGTTGTCAGGGTTGTCCTCCTTCCCCATCAGTATGAGGAGGAAGGCAATAATAAAACGGGCAAGTAACAGTTTTGAGAAAACTCCAAGTTGTCAGCATAGGTTCCTCTGATTTATATTGCAATAGAAATAGGATAAGAGTCTATGAAATGATAGGAGCTTTCTTGGGCTACTTCTCTTAGGTAGTTTTGTGGAAATCCTAGTTTAAGGATAGAATTTTATTTAAAACATCTGGCGAGTATGCTGGAGTCCTTAGACTTCCAACCTATATGACTCGTTTTCTTCTGGGGGTAGGCACCCGTGGATTAGGAAAGCAACGTCCTTCCTGATGCTCATCAATTCCTTCCTTTGGCTTTAAGATATTTGTACTAACTTTATAGACTTTACTATCCCTTCTGTCCTTCTGGAATTTTCTCTAGCTCCAGGTTGAAAGGACATTTCACCATTCCAACCATTAGGTAAGTTCTGGTATCTCTACCGGGAATCTGTTTATTTCATGTAGTTTCTCTCCCACAGCCCATCCAAAACTTGTTTCCATTCAACATCTAAAAGGACAGAGCCGTGATGACTGCCACAGTCTCCCTTCTAGTCTCTAAGTTGAGGGATGGAGGTATGTATTCAGAACTCACATATGCCACAGAGACAACACACTTGGCAGCCTTTTCTAACCCAGGTTACCAGCTCTACCCACCATGCACATATATATTTTTAAATGGCATGCATTCTCAATGTAACAGGGATTTTTTTTGCATTTTTAAAGAGGAGTCAAGGTAACCCAAATAGTCGCTATTGATGAAAATATGTAGTAGAAGAAAAGTTTGGGGACAAGCAAAAAATTTACGTCAAACTCTTTACACCAGACTTATTTCTTTGTTCTTCCTACCTACTATCTTTTTGCAAACAAAATATATTTCTTTATGGCAAATATGGCTTTAGGGATCCCAATTTGTGCCCCAATATCTGGGAGCATAAATTACTCTCACCTATTTCATTACTGCTCATTCCCTTACAGTCCCCCAAATAAGGCAGCAAGTTTTCAATTAATAGAGAAAAGATTAATGCTTTCCCTTTAAGGTTTTACAACTAAATTAATAAGATAGCATAACTCAGCTCTTGCTCTGGATATGAAAGAAGTGAACATCACAGGCACTGTTTTGTTCCTTTAGTATGTTGTGACACAAAATTGGATGCATCAGAGAACCAAGGGAGTGAGAGAAAATGCAGCCATCCAACAGAAATTTAACTCAGCACCCACCATGCCAGACCAGGTGCCAGGATACAAAGATGACAGAGGCACTCAGCCTCGGAGAGTACACAGCGTTCTCAGGGAGGGGCATTATGTATGTACCAATAACACCTAGGTAAAGGACATAAAATGTGTCACGAGAACTCCGACAGAACATCCTTATCCCTTACAGATAGACATGAGAGCAAGCCTTTCTCCAGATCCTTTGAGCCATATAAGGATCTAATGGATGCGACCATGTGCAGTAAAGTTGCTTTATTTTGTTCTACTTGTTCTTGCAGAATTTTATATTTTCATTAGTCACGGCCAGAAGATTTTGTTCTAGTTAAGACATTACCATCGATGATAATATAAATGCTTCCTGACCATTGCCATTTGTAGGGACTGGAAAAAAAGTGACATGTACCAGCACCTCTGTTCTTGAAAGTGATTTTTAAAGGTACCTCCATGAATCACACGGGACTTCCTTTCTTGTAAATTTTGAGGACCAGGGTCTTATATTTAAAACTGCCAGCTTAAGGAAACTTCACTGGCTTCCCCTACCATGAATAAACTGGTTGTTTGCAGGAGCTATCCCAAGAGGCCATTCAGAGGCCATTATTTCCCTATGAAGACTCTGTTAAAAAGAATAATCGGTATCAATAACACTTACCTGTGTATGCAGTGGGAAGGTTACCCAGCCATAACAAGCCCAGGATCACACAGCCACTACTTAAAACAATGCAACGTTTGGGATTTATGAGACTAGGGCCTGTCAGTAATAATGCTCTTACTGGGGCCTTCTCGATTCATTTGGCATACTTTGCTGTGTCCTCACAGTTAAATCAAACCTGCCATGCAGTTAAAGTCTAAGGTGCTGCATCCAAGATGCAAAGGATGCACACTGAAAAGGTTGGCTTCTCCAAAAGGGTTATTGGGGGCATGGCTGCAAATGCCTTTATGACTCTTGTGTTCCTCTAAAACAGCCACAGGACTGTTTCAAATGCAAAATCTGCAATATAACTAGTGATTATCTTCATCTCTTAAGGGCATAGGAAAAATGAGGGAAAACAATTACCATTACACAGAAAGATGGATCAAGCATGAATCAATGTGGCAGGAACATAAGGAAACAGACATGGGGTTAGACGAGGGAAGGAACCCCCAAACAACAATGATGACGACGACAACAACAACAAAGATCATCGCTTAACCTGTTTTGTCAGAGCTGGTATTGATGGTATTGGTAGTGATGGAGGTGAAGGCAGTCTTTGCGCTGTCCTTGGCAGTTACAGATTTCTGCTTATTTTTCATGGCTTCCAGTGCTTTGAGCTTCTTGGCATGTTTCGTGCCTTTGTAGTGGGCCGCAGCCTGGCTCTACAAAGGAGAACAAAATGAACCATGCAATCAGGCTCATTTCTAAACTGGCATTCTCTGTATTACTGCAAATACAGACTCCCTTTCAATAATAGGTACCATTCAACCTAATTCTGGCCATGGCCAAACAGTAGGGTTCTATTGAGAATGATGCTGGAAAGCAATGGGAATCAAGTTCTGAAACCTCTGGATGGAAGGAGTAAATATTCTATTAGGCTTCTCATATGAGAAATGTAACTGAACACTAACACATCAACAACATTTTCTTTGTGTAGTGGAAAAAAAAATAAGAATGTACACCTGTATTGCCTTTGTTCCGCCACAGAAGATGGTGGGCTCCCCAGGATTAACAAGGGCCCTGGAAAAGAGGAGCTCTCACCTTCTTGGTTTGGGAAATGTGTTTTCTCTTTCTACAGCATGTCTTATTAAAACAGTACCCGACAGATGTCTACAAGGAAGAGTTCACCTGTAACAAGAGAAGTGGGCAGCCTGGAGACTGAGATGGAAGCTTGAGTTCAAAAGCAAAAGCACTGCCTAAGTCCAAATGGAGTGCACGGAAACTGGGCAATTTTCTGATTCTTTCTTTCTCCTTGCTTCCTGCAGAGTAGTCTGAGAAATTCAAGGCAGTGGCATGCTTTCAACATGTGGGTCTTTCATGCCCTGCTCCATTGTCAGGAGGCTCCAGTGTGTTTTGACTACCTAACGGGGCCAAGGCGGTTCTTTCGCTTGTGCCTTCTGAGATATTTTTAAACAGTAATATACATTTTCCCAAGTTCATATTTTCTTAACACTGTTTTTTTTTTGGTTACTGGAGATACACATTGAGATAGAAAATCATCTTAAAGAAATCTATATTTATTAATATTTATTTATTGGGAAAAAAAGCCTTTGTGGCTTGGAATGGGGTGGGAGTGGGCCGGGAGATTCTTAAATCAGAAGGTTTCCCAGCTCAAATCATTTAAAAATGTTACAGCACAAAGAAGAAATCTCAGTGGAGGACTATGCCTGCTAGACTCCCCATCACTTCCCATGGCTTATTTAAACTCCATTCTCCAGTTTGCCAAAAAAATAATAATGACTGTCTTCTTCATCACAGCTGTGGGAGGTAGGGTGTTACAGTATAATTTTTTTTAAATAAATGGATAAATAAATAATCCACACCTTCATTTGCATCATTCTGACAAGTATCCTCAAAAGACTAGGTACCCTTATTGAAAGAACACTGGACAAGGAAATTATATAATAGAAACAGTTTGAACAGAGAGGACACTCATGCATCAGTTACAAGTTTTCCAACAACACATAACATCAAGACATAGTATGAGCCAAAATATGAAGTAAAGACTTGCTAGAGTTAATTGAAGAACCAGTGACACATTGGATTGGTTTGATCCTACACAGAGAATGCTACTTTGATGGACAGAGTCATGTCCCTTTGTTTTCCTGCCTAGTTCTCCTTTTTAATAAATCAGTCCTTTGGCTATATCTTTTGAGGGCAAGATGCTGTATTCAATTAAATCCACAATATCGTTGGCCATCTTCTTTAGGCAGTTGGCAACATACTTTCCCTGAAAGCAAAGGTCCTCCATTCTCTCTGTCAGCATTCCTACCCCTGACGTGGAAGAGAATGGCTCACATATAATACATATTAAAAGACAGGATTTGGATTAAAAGTGATCTCTTCACTTATCCCTCCAAAATATGCATTTTGGGGTTCCTAGCAAATTGGAAATCTCAGTAGTATTTCAATTCAGACAAAACTTTGTTTTAGTACTCCATAAAACCAGGTGAATGTCACTATTTTGGATAGTAAGCAACTTATTCCAAAAAACTCTGCAAGTTAGTAGAGGATTTATACCTTAAAAATACTCTCTGCATAGGTACAGCTAGGCCAACGCTTCCAACAAGTCAAATGGCTCAGGGAGTTGTGGGGAGAAGGGGTGATAAAGTGGCCAGTAGTTGGTGGGCTCCCAACTGAGACATCTGATATACTAAAAAGCAAAACAATAAAAAATGCATACTCACTTGTTCATTGAATAACAGTCCCAAAGCACCTTGATAATAATCTTAACTAAAAATTATCTGATTAATGGGGCCGGCCCGGTGGCATAATGGTGAAGTTCACGTGCTCCGCTTCGGCAGCCCGAGGTTTGCAGGTTCAGACCCCAGGCACAGACCCAGCACCACTCATCAAGCCACGCTGTGGTGGCTTCGCACATAAAATAGAGGAAGATTGGCACAGATGCTAGCTCAGCAACAATCTTCCTCAAGCAAAAAGACGAAGATTGGCAATGGATGTTAACTCAGGGCCAATCTTCCTCATACACACAAAAAATTATCTGATTAAAAAAAGGCAATTAAACCTCCCCAAAATTTGAAGAAAACATCAATGATATGAAAGTCCAAAATGCTATGGAGAGACCAAGATACGTAGAATTTAGGGGAAATGATGGAGTATAGTGGGGGTGATAGCACAAGAGGAGATCAGTGAGATTATATGTGTTGGGGGTAGAAGTGGACATACAAGTTGGAAACTGAATGTAGACAGATAACCCTTCTGGATATTTTAAATTTTCTTTGTCATCGACCTTTATTTAATGTTCATAGAATTTACTAGACTGCTCTTGGGTTATACTAACACTGATTTTTCTAGTCCATGGTATTGACCCCATAACTCTCGGCCCACCTTGATACAAGTCTGTTGTATAAAGGTGTGCTCCTTGTGTAAAGAAAACCCAGCCAGCTCTCCTTAACTCTTTAGGCCACTTCACTGGACTAGATAGATCATTCAGCCACATCTGATCTTTCTGTGACTGCAGACAAGGCTGCGGCCTAAGAAAGAATCCTGCTGGGAGATTTTTAAGAAGCGGCAGTTGGCCAGAGATGTCTCTTTGGGCTTCTTCTGCTTTTCCTTTGGGCAGAAGCACTGGCTGTAGCACAACACCCATATCCCCTCCAAGGCTGTTTGTTCCTATTTATTAGCCAGTCTCTGAGTCAAGTCATTCCCAGAAGCCTGGGAACCAACAGACACAAGCAAATAGTTATTTTTCACAGGAACGATTTCAGGGTAAAGTGAGTGTACTACTTCATGATGGCCCCTTTCAGAATTCTGTATTTTAAAACGAAAACAGAATCAGATGATCAGAGTTCACATAGAAGCAAGCAGAACAATTGGGCTTTGACAAATTACTTTGAAATAATAAGTGGAATATTAGGGTATTGTGTAATAAAAATCACGACCACCAACCTTGAAATAACACCTGACACCGTGAAATCTAACAAGTGTCATCCCAGAGGCAAGTGCTGACATTAAAGATATGCACACACATTCCTGTAGAATGATGCCACTTTAAATGTTATTGATACATCCTAGTCATCAGTAGCCAGACTTTTCAACCTTCAAGTTTTATCTTCAGTATTTCAAAATGGCTTCTGGTTTAGATGCAACTGAAGCTCCAAAATAGATAAAAAACATTGTTAAGGGGCCAGCCCCATGGCTGAGTGGTTAAGTTCAACGTGCTTCCACAGCCTGGGTTTACAGGTTCAGATCCCAGGTGTGGACCTACTCCACTCATCAGCCATGCTGTGGAGGCCTCCCACATATAAAAAATAGAGGAAGATTGGCACAGATGTTAGCTCAGAGCTAATCTTCCTCAAGTGAAAAAAGAGGAGGATTGGCAACGGATGTTAACTCAGGGCGAATGTTCCTCGCCCAAAAAATAAAATAAAATTGTTAAATGGCTAATATGCAGGAGAGGAGTTTCATCCTTTTGAAACACACACACATATTTATTTTACTTATCTAAGTAAGAGGCTTCTTTATAAATCACTATTATCCTGTAAAACTCACAGGAAATTTAATATTCATGCATCATTTTATTCCATTAGCACCAATGCCTTGTACACTTTTACTCTACGTCTCTCTTATATAAGGTGTATTAATATGCTTTTTAGAAACGAGGAAGTTTATTGTAAGCATACACATCTGGTTACCATAACCAATTAATTTTCATGAACATGTGTGATTTTAAAAGCAATCAGGTGGTCTTTTTAGATTATGATATCATGTAATTTTACCACATATTAAATTTTATTAAAATAAAATTAACATTATCATATTAAAATGTAACATCAAAAAAAGGAAGAGTGGTTATTAAAGAAGTTGCCCTCCTCTTTAGGGAGGGGAGAGATGACACTTAAGCCAAAGGAATTCTTTTTTTTAAAAAAATTATCTGAGTTTTAAAATCTTAGCTTAGATTGTTGTTTTGGAGACAAAGAAAAAATAAAATGACAGAACATGATTTAGTATCCTAAACTCTAAAATCCTCACGTTAAATCTATATTTTGAGAACTATTAAAAAATTGTTCCAGGAAAAGTTTAAAATTTTGATTTATCTACGTGCAGCTGTTTTTATGTTGCATACACTCACTCAGGTCTAATACTGAGGCAGTGTGCACGGGCTCAGCCCATATAGGTTAAGATCAGTATGTATTTTAATTGTTCAGTGACTTAAGTATTTTGAATATCACTTTTGTATACACCAATAGAAGATTTCCAAGTTTTTATTCTATCTTAATTCTTTTATTATCAACTCTCAGCTTCATTGAACATTCATATAAAAACCTTATCGCTCAAAGTGTGCGCCCCAGACCAATAGCAGCAGCACCAGCCAGGCAGCTTGTTAAACATGCAAATTCCCAACCTCCATCCCAGAGCTACTGAGTCAGAAACTATGGAGATGGGGCTTAGCAATCCATGATTTACAAACTCTCCAGGTGATTCTGATGCATACTACTTCAGAACCACTCACCTTAAATATTTGTGCATTTTCTCCAAAGATGGCCCCTTCTTGTATAACTAGCCAAAGTCTTGGTTTTTTAAGATTAATGTATAGTCATTTGAAGATCGAACACATACATGTCTGAATATGAGCAATGTGTATCACCTAAGAAAAATCATCAAAAGTTTCTTTCCTTAAAAACAAGTAAGAAGAAGAAGT